AGACAGAAAATAAAACTTAAGGAAATGGAAAAATATAATCCTCTTCTTGGTTTGGAAGATTTAATATGGAAGGATGTCCATTCTCCCTAAATTAATTTTAATGCAATCTCAATTTTTATTTATTTTTATTTTTTTAATTTTATTTTATATTGGAGTATAGTTGATTAACAATGTTGTGTTGTTTCAGGTGTACAGCAGAGTGATTCAGTTATACATATACATGTATCTATTCTTTTTCAAATTATTTTCCTATTTAAGTTATTACAGAGTATTGAGCAGAGTTCCCTGTGCTATACAGTAGGTCCTTGTTGGTTATTTTATATATAGCAGTGTACACATGTCAATCCCAAACTCCCAATCTGTCATCCCCCGCTTTCCCCAACCAGTAACCATAAGTTTGTTCTCTGAGTCTGTGAGTCTGTTTCTGTTTTGTAAATACATTCGTTTGTATCATTTTTTAAGTTTCCGCATATAAGCAATATCATATGATATTTGTCTTTCTCTGTCTGACTTACTTCACTTAATATGATAATCTCTAGGTGCATCCATGTTGCTGCAAACGGCATTATGTCATTCTTTTTAATGGCTGAGTAATATTCTATTGTATATATGTACCACATCCATTCAAAAGGACTTAAAAACCCCCCTACAGTTGACCCCATGAACAACCTGGGGGTTAGGGACGCCAGCCCCCTTTGCAGTTGAAAATCCACCTGTAACTTTGCAGTAATTTCACAGTGGCCATCAAAGTTCACCTGTTCTGCACCCACAGATTTAACCAACCGTGGATTGTGTAGTACAGCAGTACCTACTTAGTGAAAAACTCCACATATAAAAGGAGCTGCAAAGTTCAAGCCTGTGTTGTTCAAGGGTCAAATTCTAACATTTGTAAGAAAATAAAACATAGAAGAGGGAGTTAGACCTATAAAATATAAAATTATAGTAATACTCTAGTAGTTAAAGCAGTTTGATATTAACAGTTATTTGATAGATTAATAGAACAATATACAGTCCAAAAGTACTTGAAAATAGTTAGTGATAAGGTTATATTCAAATAATTAAAGAAAAGTTGTATTGTTTAATAAATTACGTATGTACAACTGGCTAGCTACTTAGGAAAAAATGAAGCAGAAGCTATACCTCACACCTCACATCCAAATTAGTTCTAGAAGGATGAAAAATTTAAATGAACAAAAAAGAAAATACAAACATACTAAAAGATAAACTTAACAGGAGAAGATGTTCTCAATACATATAGCAAAGGGCAACTTTTTAATATACAAAAATCTCTTACAAATCAATGAGAAAACAACCAATATAAATATTAACACAGGATTTGAACAGTCATTCCATAGAAAAGAAAATATAAATGACTTTTTAAAATATGAAAAATTGATGACTAAGTTCTAGGGAATCTAATGTATAGCATGGTGACTATAGTTAACATTAATTACTGTGTTATATACTTGAAAGTTGCTAAGAGAGTAGATCTTAAATGTTCTCACCACACACACAAATAAAGGTTTTAATGTGAGCTAATGGATATGTTAACTAACCCTATATGGTAATCATTTCCCAATGTGTATGTGTATCAAGTCATTGTTTAGTACTCCTTAAGTTTACACAGTTATTTGTCAATTATATCTCAGTAAAGCTGGAAAAACTATGAAAAATTGCTCATATTACAGAATTCAAAAAATGAAAATGATAATAAAAAGGAAATACCAATCTTTTCCTTAAAAATATTGGCAGAGATCTAAGTTTGGTAATGGAAGTGTTCTCCAGAGTGTGAGGAAGCATTTGTTCATGGCGTGGTAAATTTTGACCACCTCACTCAAGAGTGATTTCACAAAAGCTTCCAAAATTTAAAATATGTATAAACCTGTCATTCAACATCTGAGGAATTTATGCTTCAATACACTTTCACAAGGGTAAAGAGACATACAGACAAAAAATTTTTTATTGCAGCATTGTTTCATATTGCAAAATATTTGAAAAAACTTAAATCTATCACAAGGGTGTTTGTAAAATAAATAATGGTACATGCCATACTACGTATTTGGATATACATACATCTATATCCTCATTCCCTTGGTTTTCTCATCTAATTTCTTGCCTTTAAATATGGTGTGTGTGTGTGTGTGTGTGTGTGTCTATGTTTCCTACATTTTATCTGTAGTTCAGTTCTCTCTCCCGAATTCCCTTACCAAACTGCTACTTGGTACCTTCGCTTGGGTGTCATAATGCGTACTCAGCATGTCTGAACTCTTGATCTCCACCACCACCCCCCATTTCACTTCCTTGGCAGCCTTCCCCATCTCAGTGGATGGCAAATCACATCCTCCTCTCGCTCAGTCCCAAAGCCTGAGAGTCATCCTTTCTTTCTCTCTTAACCAATCTTCAGTTGGTCAAGAAATTATTTTTGCTCTACCTTCAGAGTATATCCAGAATCCTACCACTTTTCACCACAGTGGCTGCTATGACCTGATCTATACCACCATTATTTCTTGCCTGGATGATTGCAGTAGCCAGTCATCCACATCTACACTTGCCTTTGTATAATCTGTTCTCATCAAAGCAAGCAGAGTGATTGTTGTAAAATGTTAAATCAAGTCAAATGTTATTCTTCTGCTCAGAACTCTGTAATGGCTCCTGTTTAACTCAGAGTAAAAGCCCAAATCCCTACAATGGCCTGCAAGGACCTCCATGACCTGGCCCCTGTTAATTTATTGGACATCATTCCCTGTTACTCACTCGCTTCCTCATTCACCCACAACCACCTTCCCTTCTTTGATGCCTCTTGAATAAACTTGTATTCTCCTATCTTAAAGCCTTTTTTCTCTGCCTGCAGTGCTCTTTCCTTGGACATCTACAGGACTAACTCCTTGACCTCCTTTAGGTCTTCGCTCAGTTGTCACTTTTTCAATGACAGTTACCCTGACCACTTTATTGCCTCATCTTTTCTTTATTACATAGTATTTATAACCTCTTAAACTGTAGCCTTAACTTATTTGTTGTGCTTATTGTGGATTGTCTGTTTCACTGGTTAGAATGTAAGCTTTGTCTGTTTTCTTCAGTGATTGATCCCAAGGGTCTAGAATATGTTGAATAAATCCATAAATGAAGCAATCTGAAAGGCAAATAGAAAAACTCAAAGTATATAACAATTCATAGCAGTCTGTAAAAGCAGATATTTAAATGATGTAAATGCCTGTAGGTACATACGATGTCTCTGGAAGACTGTGAAAAAAACTGGTAATATTGGGTGTCTTTGGGAGAAACACTCAGTACTAGGGATGGATAGGGAGTCACATTCTACACTTTTAGAATCACTTCAATTAAAGAACAAACTAGTTGGAAAAAATACAATGCATAGCTGAGCCTTATTGTGGAATTCAGAATTCTTTATAAAGTAAGAGTCTTTAACTTTTTGAGTTCTTTAGAAGATGTTTAATTGTATTACTACCACTAGGTGGCACATACTTACTGATAAATTCTTAAAGATTCAGAGACACAGGTTTAAAAAATGCTTTTTAGTTCCCCAAACTTGCCAGTTTATATTAGCAATGTATCACATTGGTTTTCCTCAAGAAATTTCCTTAACTTCAGTTGTTTAGTGCTATAACAGCTTACAGGTGATTTTTCACTACCTGTTAATTCTTAGCATCATTACAACATTTGAGTTGCAGAAATGTCTTAAATCTGTAAATGTTAACTTAGATATTCTTAAATTAGTTTAAATTTTCTAATGTTCATTGAATTGTATCCGCCTATCTTTTCTTTTTCCTAAGAAATAACTTAATAAATGAAATTTAAATATTCTGTATACAAAACTAGGTTTTTGTTTGATACGTTTTTTTCATTGCTTTTATACCAAATAAATTGGTGTCCAGGACCACCACATGCAGTGTAACACCTGTATTCTTTTTGATGGTGAAGTTTTCAAAAAGAAAATGGTGGCATGTATTTTATAAATTGTAACATTTATAAACATTATAAAAACCTTTTTGGGGCAAGCTCTCAAATAACATTGGCAAAATTACTGGGCCAGATAATTTTTATAGTCATTTTTAACCTAGAGATTCTTTGACTCTATTTTTCTTTTCAAATTATATATTTTTTAAAAAATGATAAAAATGATCTTATTTACAAAACAGAAACAAATTCACAGACTTAGAGAGCGAACTTATGGTAACCGGGGGGAAGGTTGGGGGGAGGGATAGTTAGGGAATTTGGGATTGACATGTACACACTGCTATATTTAAAGTGGATAACCAACAGGGACCAACTGTATAGCACAGGGAACTCTGCTCAATATTCTGTAACAACCTAATTGGGAAAAGAATTTGAAAAAGAATAGATTCATGTATATGTATAACTGAATCACTTTGTTGTACACCTGAAACTAACACAACATTGTTAATCAACTGTACTCCAATATAAAACAAAAAGTTTAAAAAATAAAAATAGAGAACTAAAAGAAAAAAACTAAATAAACATTTAGAAAAAGTACCGTATTCAAGTAGAATAACATTTATTGAGCACTTACTATGCCTGAAAACAGTCATTTATTAGATGTGAATGGAATTAATTTTATTTACTACAATAAGAAACTAGGCTTTTCAGTTTTTATCACTTCATTATCATTGCTATGTTACTTAAAAGGGAATCAACATTATTCTGATAAAATAGATTAATATTCACTACTTTGTTACACTGGTGGTCTTAAGTTTTTGTAACTTTCTAAATATGAGATAAATCATATTAAAATATTATTTTAGTGAATTAAGACTCTGACCCTTTTGGTTATTAACATGCAAAATTTCCACAACTTTGCTATATTCTAAAATACTAATAAAATAATAATTAGATAACAAAATCTAAGGAATATATTGTACAATGCTTAGATTTAGTACCAGCTCAACAGCTAAATCAAGTCGATGTTAAAACAAAATTATATGCTTAAACATGAATCTTATTATTTTTCTCTCTTTCTTTAGCCAGGAAAATGTACGAATAAAAAGAAGTGGTATAAAAGTGCACTACAAGAAGCATACCTCCTCTATGGATACTCTCACGAGCAAAGACTGGAAAGGTGCTGCCTATCGAAACAGGGTACATGTGATTTTTTATTCTTTACCACCTCAAAATAAGGATTTATTCAGGTGCATGCTTTCCAAAATATATTTGCACATTAAAAAATTTCTCTCTCCTTTTCATAGGAAAATAGTATATCTTTGTCCAATGAAAAATCATTCTTATATTGGTTAATAGGATGCATTTTTGCCCTCTGAAACTATTTTCCAAGACTAAACTTGCAGTCTATTTAAATGTAGGTGTTTTAATTAGCGCTCTGTCATCTTTGTTCTTAGCGTTTCTACATAGGTCCTCTTGTGTATTTCAAAGCATGTATTTCAAAATTAGAAGCCATGGCTTTAAAATATATTCCTGGAGTGAAACTTTTACTTGGATGTGCTATATTATTTCAGAACAAAGTATTTTTCAAAATGTTTTATTTTTAAATAAATTCAAGGCAGAGATAGAAAAATAATCTTCAACGTTTTCAATTAGGTGAAAAAATATTATAATATTTCAAGTCGTTTTCAAGGAAAGTTCTCTTGAATCATAAATATTATGGTTTATGGATAGCTTTTTTAATGGATTGATCATAAGGCATATAGCAGGTAGAACACATTTTTAACTCTAAAAAGAATGTAATAGTTGCATGGAAATGATTTTTCAATAAACAAATATATTAAAAAAATTTTCTGCTTAGTGATCATAAGAATTTTTTTTATCTTACAAGGCCCCTTCTCATTTTATCCACCTAAAGTTCTAAAACAGATTATTCTATGGGAGGATCTGGTCTTTGGTGCTAACTGAATTTTAAAGTAAGAGTGATATTTTTTATCCTGTAGAAAAGTTTAATATATATATTTTAAAAACTTATATGTAAAAACATTTTACTTGAAAAAAAGTTTAAGTGTTAATCTAGCCACCTAAGTTTAGATTTTAAAGCATATAAATAGGTTTGAAAAGAGTGGAAAAAGAATGACAAGCAAACTACTCTGGTCAAAAGACATTTATTACCACAAATGTGATTTTATTCTTTGTGCTGAAAATATAATGTCTCTGTTTATTAGCCATAAAGGTTGAACTCACTTTACTGTCACAAATACAATTTTACACTTTGCATGGGCTGTACATTTCTCTTGTGTAACCAGAATAAACTCTGAAATATTTAGTTTTTTTAAACATTAATATTTTGAAGTAATATAATCTGTTACCTTTAAAAGTTACATTACAACCATTTTACACTAGCAATATCCTGCTTTCTCACTAAGTTACGGAACTATGCCGTTGTTGTGTGTGCCAGGGCGTTTATGTCTGGGTCCTTTGGCATTCTTACTTGTCCAGAGACTCTTGAGCCGGGTTATATCTGATCGGTTTTGCAGGAACAGACCATTTTCTAGCTGAAAGTCTGATGATTTTTGCATGCAGAATTTGTGTAATTCGGCCTGATTATAGAGAGCCATATGCCTAAAGACTGTCATTTTGTGCCTGAAGTAGCCCAAATTGACAGGCACGAACAGACTTCCAGGAGCTCAGTCTTTGCCATCATGGGCTCACTCATTGCATACTCACTCTTCACTGTCTCCAAAATAAGCAGTTTAGTCCTGTGCCTGCTTAGCTTCCAGGGTGGATTCTAGGACGTATTCAGCTTCTTACTGTATTCAAAGTAGTTTTGAGAGGTAATTAACCATTATTCAGATATTTTACAAAAGGTTAGTTGCTTAGAGGCAAACCACTTATTTCATTCCAGCAACTTTGAGGATTTCTTTACCCCCAAAATTCATTCTTTCAACCTAGAAATAATTACTACTAATTTTTTTGGCCTAAATTCTTCCTACCCTGCAGAAATTGGCCCACTATTATGTTTGATGCAATTGTTTCATTGTTGAAATCTACAGGGTCAGTCAATGATACATAAATATAGACCCAGTCATAGTATAACAAAATTCCATGTCCTATACACATGATTTGGTTACCGTGTTTTTGTTGTATTAACTATTACTCCAAATCAGTGATTCTTCTGTTGGGTCTAGAAAACTTCTTCTTATATAGGAAATTCATTATTTTTTATTTTCAATTGTATTTTTTAAATGAATAGGGTGTTACTCATATAGTTTCTTTATAACTCAGCATTAGGATTTTGTATTATTTGTAGGATGAATATTTTTTATATATTCTACATTTTAGAGTAGATGTCCTTATCTCTACCCTTGTTTCTCAGAATTATTTATTTTTAAATATACTAATTTTTTAGAGCACTTTTAGGTTCATAATGAAATTAAGCAGAAAGTACAGGGTTCCCATATACCCCCTGCCCTACACACGCACAGCATCACTCACTGTCAACATCCTGCACCACAGTGGTTCATTTGTTACAACCTATAGACCAACACTGACACATCATTATAACCCAAAGTCCATAGTTTACATTAGGGTTCACTCTTGGTGTTGGACATTCTATGGGTTTTGACAAATATATACAGTGACATGTATCTACCACTTTAGTATCATACAGAATTGTTTCATTGTTCTAAAAATCCCCTGTGTTCCACCTATTCATTCCTCTCCCAGCCCAATCCCTACCCCTCTGATTGGCAACTACTGTCCTTTTTTTTTTTTTTTTTTTTCAAATTTATTTTTATTGGAGTATAGTTGCTTTACAATGTTGTGTTAGTTTCTACTGTACAGCAAAATGAATCAGCTATGCGTATACATGTATCCCTTCTTTTTTGGATTTCCTTCCCATTTAGGTCACCACAGAGCATAAAGTAGAGTTCCCTGTGCTATACATTACGTTCTCATTTGTTGTCTGTTTTATACATGGTGTCAGTAGTGTATAAGATCAGTCGCAATCTACCCATTCCTCCCCCACACACCACCCTTTCCCCCTCAGTATCCATACATTTGTTCTCTACTTCTGTATCTCTATTTCTGCTTTGCAAATAAGATCATCTATACCATTTTTCTAGATGCCACATATATGTGCTAATACACGATATTTGTTTTTCTCTTTCTGACTTCACTCTGTATGATGCTCTCTAGATCTATCCACATCTCTACAAATGACCCAATTTCATTCCTTTTTATGGCTGAGTAATATTCTATTTTATATATGTACCACATCTTCTTTATCCATTCCTCTGTTGATGGGCATTTAGGTTGCTTCCATGTCCTGACTATGGTAGATAGTGCTGCAGTGAACATTGGGGTGCATGTGTCTTTTTGAATTATGGTTTCTCTGGGTATATGCCCAGTGGTGGGATTGATGGATCATATGGTAGCTCCATTTTTAGTTTTTTAAGGAACTTCCATACTGTTCACCGTAGTGGCTGTATTACATTCCCACCAACAGTGCAAGAGGGTTCCATTTTCTCCACACCCTCTCCAGCATTTACTGTTTGTAGATTTTTTGATGCTGGCCATTCTGACTGGTGCGAGATGATACCTCATTGTAGTTTTGATTGCATTTCTCTCATTTAGTGATGCTGTGCCTCTTTTCATGTGCTTCTTGGCCATCTGTATGTCTTCTTTGGAGAAATGTCTATTTAGGTCTTCTGCCCATTTTTGGATTGGGTTGTTTTTTTGATATTGAGCTCTATGTGCTGCTTGTATACTTTAGAGATTAATCCTTTGTCAGTTGCTTCATTTGCAAATACTTTCTCCCATTCTGAGGGTTGTCTTTTTGTCTTGTTCATGGTTTCCTTTGCTGCACAAAAGCTTTTAAGTTTCATTAGGTCCCATTTGTTTATTTTTGTTTTTATTTTCATTTTTTATTGTCATTAATCTAGGAGGTGTTTCAAAGAAGATCTTGCTGCAATTTATGTCAAAGAATGTTCTGTCTACATTTTCCTCTAAGAGTTTTATAGTGTCTGGCCTTATATTTAGGTCTTTAATCCATTTTGAGTTTATTTTTGTGTGTGGTGTTAGGGAGTGTTCTAATTTCATTCTTGTACATGTAGCTGTCCAGTTTTCCCATCATCACTTATTGAAGAGGCTGTCTTTTCTCTGTTCTTGCCTCCTTTGTCATACCTTAGGTGACCATAGGTGCATGGGTTTATCTCTGGGCTTTCTATCCTGTTCCATTGATCTTCTGTTTTTGTGCCAGTACCATACTGTCTTGATTACTGTAGCTTTGTAGTATAGTCTAAAGTCAGGGAGCCTGATTCCTCCTGCTCCGTTTTTCTTTCTCAAGATTGCTTTGGCTATTTAGGGCTTTTTGTGTTTCCATACAAATCTTAAAATTTTCTGTTCTAGTTCTGTGAAAAATGCCATGGGTAATTTGGTAGGGATTGCATTGAATTTTGAGATTGCTTTGGGAAGTATAGTCATTTTCACAATATTGATTCTTCTAATTCAAGAACATGGTATAGCTCTCCATCTGTTTGTGTTGCCTTTGAATTCTTTCATCAGTTTCTTGTAGTTTTCTGCATACAGGTTTTTGCTTCCTTAGCTAGGTTTATTCCTAGTTATTTTATTCTTTTTGGTGCAGTGGTAAATAGGATTGTTTCCTTAATTTCTCTTTCTGATCTTTTGCTGTTAGTGTATAAGAATGTAAGAAATTTATGTGTATTAATTTTGTATCCTGCGACTTTACTAAATTCATTGATTAGCTCTAGTACTTTTCTGGTGGTATCTTTAGGATTTTCTGTGTATAGTATCATGTCATCTGCAAACAGTGACAGTTGTACTTCTTCTTTTCCAATTTGGATTCCTTTTATTTCTTTTTCTTTCCTGATTGCTGTGGCTTGGACTTCCAAAACTATGTTGAATAATAATGGCGAGAGTGGACACCCTTGTCTTGTTCCTGATCTTAGAGGAAATACTTTCAGCTTTTCACCATTGAGAATAATGTTTGCTGTGGGTTTGTCATATATGGCCTTTATTATGTTGAGCTAGGTTCCCTTTATGCCCACTTTCTGGAGAGTTTTTATCATAAATGTGTGTTGGATTATCTATTGAGATGATCATATATGTTTATTCTTCAGTTTTTTAATATGGAGTATCAGATTGATTGATATGCATATATTGAAGAATCCTTGCAT